AGAGCCTTGACCCAGATACATAATCAGGAGTATGGCAGGCAAATGGAAACCCTTAGACTGATGGGTGAAGAACAGTCCTGATTCATTTCTTCACTCATTAATTTCAGCTATTTTATTCAGTGTTTGCTTGTGTACGAATCTGTGCTCATTAATAGATATATTAAAATGAACTGTGCACGATCTCTCCCCTTCTATGGAGGACAGAGGCTTGTAAATACACAACTAAAACCAAATGTAATGAGGCTGCAATAGGTACACACTAAGTGCTGGAGGAACCTCAAAGAGAGTTTACTGCTTTGTTGAGAGGAAACATAAAGGAAACAGGTAAGAAGGAGGCTGAAAGGTGAGGAGCAGTTAGTCAGGCAGAAAAGGTGGGCAAGGGGAAGGCACACCTAGTAAAGGGGGGCGGGGGAAAACTGAGGTGTGGAATTATTTGGTTTGCTTGCATAAAGGTGAGTGGGCATATGTGGCTCAGAATTTGTGTGAGTCTTGGAGGAAAGACAGAAGATGAGCTAAGTATGATGAGCAGTGGTGAGACTTCCTGGATCTTTCAGACCTGATTGAAACATTTGTCCTTTGTTCTTTGTTTATAAGTCAGGCATGGCGCCCTAGCCAGTTTGACTCAATGGATAGATGATCAGCCTATAAATCTAAGGCACGCAGGTTCAATTCCTATCAAGGGCACCTACCTCAGTTGCAAGCCTACCTACCTCCCCTGCCCCAGCCCTGGTCAGGCCACATGCAGGAGGCAACCAATCAATGTGCTTCTCTATATCTTTCCCTTTCTCCTCCACACTCTCTAGAAATCAATAGAAAATATTCTTGTGTAAAGATTTAAAAATATATAAAAGTCAGGCATAAAAATGCTATTACATTGTAAAATGCTGCACCAGTTTAACTGTGTATATTGGATTGAAAAGATGAAAGTAGAAGAGAAAAAGAGTGCAAAGAAAACATTTTGGAAGTTGTTGTAAGAGTCTGGAAAGAAAAGAATGGAAGCTAAAATTATGAGTGTCACCAGTAATGGGAAAAATGTAGATTTTTTTTAAATTATATCTCTGCATTTCCTTTAACTCTCCTTGGCAACACACAATAGCCCACACATTCCCAATGCTCAGAAAAACATAAGCACAGAGCCTCCTTTGTGACCTGTAGCTCAGACATCCCTGGGGAGCAGCAACTCACTAAGGCATCCAGCCAGTGGTATAAAGGTAACATCTTAGTTGCAGAGTTATCTTGGGCTCCTTCAGAATGTCTACAGGCAGAGAGGACTGTGACAACAAGCAGGGTGAGTAACTTGAGGCCCAGGCACAGTCCCATTTATATTATTTAGAAGAAGAGTGCCTGGTTAGTGAGTCTGACATGCCCTCTCTGTCAGCTGCTCCCAGCTGCTGCCTGGTGCAGGAGCCAATGTGATGGTGGATGAGCAGACGGCAGAAGCTGGAGGAAAGGTAAGGAGGTCTGTTTAGGGCCATAGACCTCCATGGATGTCAGGTCTATGGCCCCGAAAAAGGGATAGGAAGTGAATAAGGCTCCTCTCCCGAAGCACTGAGATTGCTCCAGTCAGATAATTATCAGAAACACAGACTCTGTGTCCAAGTAAATTACTACCCTTTTGTTTCTCTAATTGGGGCCACAGTATGAGGGTATCTTAAGATCCCATCCAAGATAGCATCCTGCCAGTGACCTGAATGCTTGGTGTCTCAACCCTCACTATGAGATTGTCCTTCAATTCTTCCAATAAAGAGAGCCGCTTAGAAAAGCATTTGGCTTATATGTATTTTAAAACTAACTACCACCATAGAGCATTAGATACTGCCTCCATCATATTACATATTTACCACTTCTGATTTGTGAAAACAGAAAAGTACTTGGCTTGGGGTAAAGAGGGCATGACTGTTTCTAGGCAACTTGACATTCCCAGACACACCTGGTCATAAGGTAACAGAGTCTTAGAGTAATACAATAGAAATGATTTCATTCCTGGGGGAGACCTACAATTTTTAAATATCTTTGACCTGTTAGTGTCCTGGAGATAATAATATAAGGCCAAACCTACCTTGATTTCCAAGTTTAAGTGACTGCTTTGGGAATTCATGGGAATCAGAAAACATGGCAATCCATTTATTCTACCAAAATGGGCATTTTAGTAAAAGCACACACCAAAAAAAAACCTGAACTTTCATCACACAGAATCCCTTCCCAATGCGATCCCTCATAACACTGTAACAGTCACAATACATAAAAAGAGCCACCACCTGGATACAAGGGAAAAATTAGCTTGATTGTATAAGAGTTGTCCCTAATTTTTGGCAACAGTCTTAAATGGTGCTCTATAATGTCAACCTTGTGAGCTCTAAGTTTCCTGTAATATACAGCTTAACTTTACATTTGGATCTTTCCAACACAGCCAAGAACAATAGATCACAAAAATATCTAACAGTTCATCAGACCTACAGACCAACTAGACAAGTTCTAACCTAAGGGATTGAGGATTTCTGAATTACTCAAAAATAGATAAATCAATAGAGGATAAAAGTAAAAGAATTATGATATTTATCCCAGGTAAAAATTAATCCTCATATTTCTGCAAGTTATATACAGAGGGCAAAATTCACCTGCTATTCTGATTCAAACTATGAATATCAGGGGAGCATTTTTTGGATTGATCCTATGAAAACCCAAATAAGATTGGATAAAAATAATATCTATTGTATTAATCTGAAGGAGCCACTGGTTTTTACTATATACAAACAACATAATATAAATTATGAACAAACATATGCATCTAAGAGATGCTGTACTATGGATTGGGATGGAAGGGAACTAGATTAAAGAGTAGGGAGTTTTCATTCGGCTCTTCATTGTCTTGTTCACTCATTCATAGTAACTGGAAAAAAAGAGAAAAGTAATTATGAAATCATCAAAATGAAAAAAATGAGATTTAATGAAGTTTCTGAAGAAATGTGATTTGGATTAGTAAAAATAAATAGTAAAAATGAGAAGATGAATAGCGCAATGACTGGCCCTGTAGGAAGAACTCAAAAGCTCACTATGATGGAGGGGTAAACTGGAGATTTTTAGATAAAAAGGAAGGGGTTTTATTTGAAGGGCTCCAAATCATGTCACCATGGAACATAAGAAGAGAACAAGCTCATTCAGATCATCTGGTCCAACCAGCTCCACACCTTACAAATCTCCAGCATCTAGTACTGTCATGGCCAATACAAACAGTGTAAGACTTCACAGTATTTAAGCCAAATAGACCTGAATTCTGATTTTAAATTTTCAAACAAACAACCAAAAATGAGAAGTCTAATATCTGGAACATGAGAGATATTCAATGATTGATAAATTAATAAATGTATTTGCCCAGCATCAAACACTAAAATTAGAAAAGACCCTCTGAGCACTATAAGTGCCTGCATGTATGTCTTTGATTGATGTGTTTCAGTTGGTGTCTGTAGAAATTCTAACTTTGGGTCCTTGGCCCTGCAGCTGTGGACCTCCAGCTAGAGCAGATGTCAGTGCTGATTATTTACAGGGATGCACATTCAAAGGCAAATCAAGGCCTCAAGATGTGTGTGGGAAGGGGCTGAACAAAGCATTTGGCTGGTATAGTAAAGGTTGTGGGGAATGCTACATAAATGGAATGAGGGGTTGATTCCTCAAAAAGCACTGTGTAGCCTGGGTTACAATGGCATCCAGTGACCCTGGCTGATTATCTCTGGGCAAGGGATATTTAGAGAGCATATTTTTTAAGTTTGTATTTACTTTTTTTAAATATATTTTATTGATTTTTTACAGAGAGGAAGGAAGAGAGATAGTTAGAAACATCGATGAGAGAGAAAGATCGATCATCTGCCTCCTGCACATCCCCCACTGGGGATGTGTCCGCAACCCAGGAACATGCCCTTGACCGGAATCGAACCTGGGACCCTTCAGTCCGCAGGCCGATGCTCTATCCGCTGAGCCAAACCGGTTCCAACAAGTTTGTATTTATTGATTTGAGAAAGAGAGAGACACTATGAGAAGGGGATGGGGGAACAGTGATTTGCTGTTTCACGTATTTATGCACTAATTGGTTACTACTTCTATGAGCCTTACAGGGAATCAAACCATGGTGTATCAGAATGATGCTCTAACCAAATAAGCTACCCAGCTAGGGCTGAACACATATATTTAAGTGTCCTCAGTGACCTGGGGAAAATCAACTGTCTCCTCAATTACCCAAACTTACCTAGTACTTATTCTCCTTTTCATCCTGGGACTTCATCATTACTGGGTCTTGACTAAAAGAGAATGTCCAGGGTTTATACTCAGACCTCTCAAACACAAAAAGATCTGAAGTTCTAAAAAACTAGTCCAAGGGAAAGCTCTCACCCTATGGTGGGCTACACAATTTCTCTCATTTCACCTTAGTTAAAATATTTCCCTTCTCTATCAGCAAGGTTATTGTAAGACAATAATGAGAAAACTATGTGAAAGCACTTAGAAATACTGCAAAATGCAGCATGAATAAAATAACAGTAATGACCAAGACAAAGACTATGACGACGACAATGATGATGATGATGATGATGATAATGATGATGGTGTTAATGATTATTTAGAGAGCACTATATATATATTAAAGTATATTAATAAACATCACTTTATTTATTGAAGACTCTGCATGGTAAGGTGAAAAAAGCATAGAAATTAAATTTAGAAACAACCGAATTCTAAATCCATTTCAGTCACTTATTTTCTGGTAATCATGAAGAAGTTAAACTACCCCCCACATTTTGTATTTGTTTTGAGGACATATTCACTAATGTATGCATATTTTTATAACTACTCATAATACAAAGTAAGAACTGAGAAATGGGAAAAAATCATTTAAAAGCATATACAGCATAAATAAATGTTTTCCTAATGGCAGGTGCCCTGTCGATGTCTTTTCTCTGCCCAGACTGAAGAGGTCACATCTTTCTGGAGACTTCTTCTGCCTTCCAACGATGCTCTCTTCCCAATCCTATGTGAACATCTCCTTCTTCCAGCCAGCTTCCTTCCTGATGATTGGCATCCCAGGGCTGGAGGCCGCTCATGGCTGGATCTCCATTCCCTTCTCCTGCATGTACACTGCGGCCCTCACTGGAAATTGCCTCATCCTCCTGGCTGTGAGGAGGACTCCCAGCCTGCACCAGCCCATGTACTACTTCCTGTCCATGCTGGCCCTCACTGATGTGGGTCTCACCTTGTCCACAATGCCCACCACCCTGGCTGTGCTCTGGTTTGACCATCGTCTCATCGCCTTCAATGCCTGCCTGGTGCAGATGTTCTTCCTCCACTCCTTCTCTGTGGTGGAGTCCTCGGTGCTCCTGGCCATGTCATTTGACCGCGGAGCGCATCCGGGCCCTCAACACCTGTGTCTCACACATCCTTGCTGTCTTTGTCTTCTTCATCCCAGGCATCACCATGTCCATGATCCATCGTTTTGGAAGGCACCTGCCTCACATTGTACATTCCCTGGTTGCCTATGTGTACTTGATGGTGCCCCCTGTGCTCAACCCCATCATCTACAGTGTGAAATCCAAGCCCATCAGGGAGGCCATGCTCAGAGTGCTGAGGGAGAAGGGGCAAGGCTGATGAAACCAAGAATCAGCCACGGAGCCTGAGGAAAACGTCGCCAAACAGTCCTATCTTCTGTCCAGAAAACCCTTGTTTAGAGCCTTGACCCAGATACATAATCAGGAGTATGGCAGGCAAATGGAAACCCTTAGACTGATGGGTGAAGAACAGTCCTGATTCTTCCCTTCACTCATTAATTTCAGCTATTTTATTCAGTGTTTGCTTGTGTACGAATCTGTGCTCATTACTAGATACATAATGAACTGTGCACAATCTCTCCCCTTCTTTGGAGGACAGAGGCTTGTAAATACACAACTAAAACCAAATGTAATGCGGCTGCAATAGGTACACACTAAGTGCTGGAGGAATCTCAAAGCAGGTTAACTGCCTTGTTGAGACTAAATCAGAAAGGAAACAGGTAAGAAGGAGGCTGAAAGGTGAGGAGCAGTTAGTCAGGCAGAAAAGGTGGGCAAGGGGAAGGCACACCTAGTAAAGGGGGGCGGGGGACTGAGGTGTGGAATTATTTGGTTTGCTTGCATAAAGGTGAATAGGCATATATGGCTCAAAATTTGTGTGATTAGAGGAAGAAAAGGAGATGAGCTAAGGATGATGGGCAATGGTGAGACTTCTTGGTTCTTTCAGACCTGATTGAAACATTTGTCCTTTGTTCTTTGTTTAAACGTCAGGCAAGAAGCCTGAACCGGTTTAGCTCAATGGATAGACCATCACCCTGTGAATCTAAGGGACACAGGTTCAATTCCAATCAAAGGCACCTACCTCAGTTGCAAGCTCCTCCCCTGCCCCAGCCCTGGTCAGGCCACATTCAAGAGGCAACCAATCAATGTGTTTCTATCTTTCCATCTCTCATCCACACTCTAAAAATCAATAGGAAAATATTCTTGTGTAAGGATTTAAAATCTATATAGAAGCCAGGTATGGAAATGCTATTGCATTGTAAACTGTTGCACCAGTTTAACTGTGTATTCTGGATTGAAAAGGTAAAAGTGGAAGACAAAAAGAATGCAAGGAAAACTCTCTGGGAGTGGTTTTGTAAGAGTCTAGGAAAAAAAAAAGACGATGGAAGCTAAAATTATGCGTGTCACCTATAATGGAAAAAATGTAGATTTTTTAAATTATATCTGTATTTCCTTATAACACTCCTTGGCAACACACATAGCCCACACATTCCCATTCCTCAGAAAAACATAAGCACAGGGCTTCCTTTGTGACCTGAAGCTCAGACATCCCTGGGGAGCAGCAACTCACTAAGGCATCCAGCCAGTGGTATAAAGGTAGCATCTTAGTTGCAGAGTTATCTTGGGCTCCTTCAGAATGTCTACAGGCAGAGAGGCCTGTGACAACAAGGAGGGTGAGTAACTTGAGGCCCAGGCACAGTCCCATTTATATTATTTTGACGAATGGGGTCCAGGTTAGTGAGTCTGACATCCGCTCTCTGTCAGCTGCTCCCAGCTGCTGCCAGGTGCAGGATGGGATGGGGGATGAGCAGATGGCAGATTCTGGAGGAAAGGTAAGGAGGTCTATTTAGGGCCATAGACCCCATGGATGTCAGGTCTATGGTCCCAGAAAAAGGAATAGGAAGTGAATAAGGCTACTCTCCTGAAGTATGGAGATTGCTCCAGTCAGATAATTATCAGAAACCCAGACTCTGTGTCCAAGCAAATTACTACCCCTTTGTTTCTCTTAATGGGGCCACAGTATGAGGGTATTTTAAGACCCCCATCCAAAATAGCACCTGCTGGTGGCCTGAATGCTTGGTGTCTCAACTCTCACGATGAGAGTGTCCTTTAATTCTTCCAATTAAGAAGAGCCTTTTAGAAAAGCATTTGGCTTGTATGTATTTTAAAAATAATTACCACCATATAGCATTAGATAGTGCCTCCATCATATTACATATTTACCATTTCTGATTTGTGAAAAAAGAAAAGTAAATTGGCTTGGGGTAAAGAGAGCATGATTGTTTCTAGGTATCTTAACTTTCCCAGACATATCCAGTCACAAGGTAACAGAATCATAGAGTAGTAAAATGGAAATGATTTCATTCCTGGGGGAAACCTACAATTTTTAAATATCTTTGACCTTTTACTGTCCTGGAGATGATATTGTAAGGCCAAACTTAATCTGATTTCCAGGTTTAAGTGAGTGCTTTGGACTTCACAGGAATCAGAAAACATGACCATCCAACTGTGCTACCAAAATGGGCATTTTAGTAAAACCACACACCAAAAAAAACCTGTCTTTTTATCACAAAGAATCCCTTCCCAATGCCAGGCCCCTCATAACACTGTAATAGTCACAAAACATAAAAAGGAAAGAGCCATCATCTGGATACCAGGGAAAAATTAGCTTGACTGTAAAAGGGTTGTCCCTCATTTGGGGCAACTTGTCTTAAATTGTAGTTTATAATTTTACTCTTGTGAGCTCTAAGGTTCTTTTAATATTCAGCTTAATTTAGCATTTTGATCCTTCCAACACAGCCAAGAGCAATAGATCGCACAAATATCCAACAGCTCATTGGACCTACAGACCAACTAGACAAGTTCTAACCTAGGGGATTGAGGATTCGTGAATTACTCAATAATAGACAAATCAATACAGAATAAAAGAAAAAGAATTGCGATATTCATCCCAGGTAAACATCAATCCTCATATTTCTGCAAGTTATGTAGAGAGGGCAGAATTCACCTGCTATTCTGCTTTAAACTGCCAATAACAGGGAGCATTTCCTGATTGGTCCTATGAAAGCCCCAATAAGATTGGATAAAAATAAATATCACTTGTATTAATCTGAAGGAGCCACTGGTCTTTGCTATATACAAACAACATAGTATAAATTATGAACACACATGTGCATCTAAGAGATGCTGTACTACGGGTTGGGATGGAAGGGAACTAGATTAAAGAGTAGGGAGTTTTCATTCGGCTCTTCATTGTCTTGTTCACTCATTCATAGTAACTGAAAAAAAAGAGGACAGAAATTATGAAAACATCAAAATGAAAAAAATGAGATTTAATGAGGTTTCTGAAAAAATGTGATTTGAATTAGTAAAAGTAAATAGTAAAAATGAGAAGATGAATAGCACGATGACTGGCCCTGTAGGAAGAACTCAAAAGCTCACTATGACAGAGGGGTAAACAGGAGATTTTTAGAGAAAAAGGAAGGGGGTTTATTTGAAGG